ATGTTGCTGCGGTCTGCAGTCTGGACGTTAGATGTCGCTGAAAATTACACACTTAAGCTTTAACTAAAAAGTGGAAATTATTTAATTTTACTTGCAGATTTATGTTAACTTTCAGAAAACAGCTGGAACAAGAACGAAATATTTCAGTAGGATCATAAACAACTGAGAGCATAGATTATGTTTGGAGGTTTATTGTCATGTTAAAAATGTGCTAAAATGTGCATCCAAAACTCCTGACCCCAAAATGCCTCAGTTCAAATGCGTTTGGTGTGAACACACTACAACAGTGCTTGGGATAGAGTAAGAATGTTGATGTTTGCTGAAGTTGAAGCTAAGCTGACGAGGTGTTTAGATTTGGCCTCTTAAGTCGAGAGATGTGAGTAAATGTTCTTATTAATATCGATTGTAGTGATAGTAATGGTATTTTTTTTTTACAGTGTCCTGCATGGCCATGTGGCAATAAAAATAATTGTTTTGATGCCAAAAAAGAGCCCAACAGATTTAACTTGCACAAGTGGAGCAGTACGGCTATCGCCATAGTGTTCCACTTGATTTATGTATATAAATAGCTTTATTATAATTCATACAGGGAGTATTACAGATTATATGGACACTGCAATGTAAGTAGAACAGGAAATGAAAAAGATGAAAGAAAGAGGAGATAAAAGGGAGCGATGATTGAACATCTTCTGTCTGCTTCATCACCTGCAAAGAGATGTTAAAAGAACAGCACAACCGATGGATATACTATAAGAGATACAATAAAGTAACACCTTGATACTATTGCAGAAGTATAATCAGTAGTCCAGTTTTTGGAAGCATACTTAGCCTAATTAATATATTCTATTAACCTAAAGCAATATGCATGGTAGGGTTGTTGCATTTCAGGTACGTCGGTGTTGTGCCGAGAATAACCTCCCCTGTCGCAGGAGCGTGCATCGGCCTAAACTCACCCCCATTGATGAGAAAACAAATTAAAATATGAACAAAAAGGGAAATTTTTAACATATTCTTAATGTTTTCATATTTCTAAAAAAATGGATGCCTTCAAATTGATAGTTTTGGTGGACAGATAAACTCAAATTAATAGGATTTTACTTGTATGGAGAGACGTTTTAGTCGATGTGCTACAGTCAGTGTGCGATGAATAAATTCTCTGCTCAGTGGGTGCCAATTCCCCATTTTGCTATCAACACCATTCTAGATCATTTTTGACATGTTGTTTGTTAAACTTAGAACCTGCCGAAGATTCCCTCCCCTCCTTATTTTCACATTAATTGTCCCAGAGTTATGAAATTCATATCACAATCAAAGAGAGAAGGTATGATTATGTGAAGAAACTTGCATAATTGTAAACACATTATTTCTCAAACTAAGCAAGGAGGGAGATCTTGGCAACTTAGAACCTGGAACCTGCAGAAGATTCCCTTCCCTCCTTACTTTCACATTCCCTCAAATCGTGTTTTCACCTACTCTGCTGGCTGCGCCACTGAGGTTGAAAATGAAATTGCATGTGGCCTCTGCACAGTATGCCAAATGTTGAAATGGCAGTATTATTGCCATTGCTAGTAATATATAATAGCCATTTACACATTCAGTGATAAAATGTCACATCCCCCCTCAACTCGAGTACTGAGTAGGCTGACCAAACGTCCGTATTTCCCGGGACATATCCGTATTTCACGTCCTGTCCCGGGCGTCCCGTTTTTTTTTTTTTTAGAAAGTAAGGAAATGTCCTGATTATTTTAATTACCTTAATTGGACCATTAAATTTACAGGCACTAGGGTACTGCGCACAGCATGCGTGTGCAAAGCAGGCACATATGTCTCGGTGTCCAATGGAGGTGCAAGGGATCCCCCCCCCCCCCCCCGTTCCAAGGTGTCCTGGTTTTTCCAAAAGAAAATACGGTCACCCTAGTACTGAGTATAAGTAGTATTACTTAATCTGACATATATACTGTGGTAGCTCAAGATAAGGATATGGGCTTTTTTTTATTTTTTACCTCTACAGTCTAAGTACAAATTGCCTTATAAATAGCTCGTGATTGGTTCTTACCTTGATGATGTCTCCCTGTTTGCATTTGTCAGAAAAATTAATTTTCTACACTGTCATTATGCTTTGATAGGAGGAGTTGCTGTAGATCTGTTTATTTAATGAATATAGGTTTATTTAATGAATATAGGTTGGTCTTAGTACACCCCAGCTGTCACTTTGGAGGGACTAGCTTTCTGATAGTTCTACTGTACTGGTGGCAGATGACACGTTTGTGTTTATGTCACCTCATTGCTTAATCCTATTTAGGCTCAAGAAGGAACACCTAAACACTATCAAGACAAACACTTGATGTATTTAACCTTAGCCTTTTGTGATTGATGGACTTTTAACATGTAACGTGTTTATGCAACTTTTAAAATATGTATGCAAAGGGAAATGTATGCAAATTGTTGGCCACCACTTCTCCTTTAAGGTCATCAAAAGAATTAAGCTAACAAAAAATTGTGTTTTCCAGCTCATACAGGGGGAACAAAGAGACTTCTTTTACTACAGAGCAACAGTACAAAAGCTATTTGAGCTTTTCCCACCGATGGCTGATTTAAAAAAACCCAGTTCTGACAGCTGCAGGACTTGTGCTGTTGTGGGAAATTCAGTTAATTTAAAAGGAACACATTATGGACCGCTGATAGATTTTCAAGATGTTGTTATGAGGTAAATATTCAGCAAAAGGAATTTGCTCGTAATTTGTCTCTCTTAAAGAGTAAAACTAGTAACAACTGTTCCCTCCATGTCATTCAGAATGAACGCCGCTCCTATCAAAGGCTATGAAAGTGATGTTGGGACCAAAACAACTCATCGTGTCATGTACCCAGAAAGTGCTGTGGATTTAGATCATTCTACACATCTAGTGCTGTTTCCATTCAAGATACAAGATCTTGAGTGGCTCATCAATGCCTTTACAATGGGATTTTTTGGAAGGTTAGTTATGGATACAGTATTTTATGATACCTTATGTTTTGTTGCTGTGTAATTATTTACACAGATGTTATCAAAAGGGTCATGGAAACAAACAGAAACAAATCCTTATACTTGGCCTTTGTCAGTGCTATACAATATATTTCCTTATCCTACCTTCTTCACAATGAAAAAAAACAAACAAACAGTTAAAACATAATAATTAGTTAAAAAAATAAAAAGAGGTAACACAAAAGCCACATAAAGACCCTTTAAAAGTAGTGACTGCTTTCCCTTCTTATATGGCTAAATTTATTATAACATCTTGAAATATAAATCTTGAGTTTTGGCACATCTCTGCTAAAGTTGAATTAGTTCAAGACAAAAATATGGAAAACAATCTGTTTTAAAATTGAATCTTTCTATGTCTAATGCCATCAATCTCCTGTATTAAGAGATTGTGACCCAGATTGTGATTCTTGACCCAATGCATTAGGTATAAAGCATATCCATAGAGTTCTGGGTTTGTCATAAATCTTTGGATTGAGAAACCATAATTAATATGAACTCCCCTGGGTGACCAAGCTCCAGCCATTCAGAGGGAAGGCTTATTTCAACTGCTTGATTTGTTTCTGCTCACACAGGGTCAGATCTTAGATGAGCCTGTAAACCTCTTCATCTATGGTGGTAATTTGTCCTAAACTTCCAATTCATTCCTGCGTCATTTTCTACATCTCAATATCAATACAAGATACTTTTTAAAGAAATCATAAACTAAAGAAAATAAATACATTAAGTAGGTGTCTGTAGTTTGCTATAACTTTTATAACAGTAGCCAATGACTTTTCAGGGTTAACTACTGCAGTCGCAAAAAGTACCTAATAACTAAAGATAATTCCAAAAAAAGTTAAAAAACAATCCACTGGACTTTGTTTCCAGGTTTGAAGACCTTTCGCTTTCATTCCAGGAAGCTTTTTCAATTCAAAGTGTCAGATATAGCGTTGAGTTTGAGGCTTTATAGAGTGGAGCAAAATAAAAGCCTTGTCTCCATGGCTCTTTATAGTTCAGCATTTGACGACTTTCACTTTTATCAGCAGTTGGATGAAATGTGAACCTTGGAAGAATAACACCATGTCAGCTAAATCAACAAATGAGCTAATTTTCATTACAGTGGTAGGTGCTTATCATAAAGGATCTTTGTTTGCAAAACGTCACTCACCATCTCTTTAGTAGCATAATATGGTGTACAGTTAGAGCCAAATAGCTCTCTGTTGCTCACAAATTCTATCCATCTGTTTTGCCCAACACAGTGGCCACACTCTGTAGTTCCTTGAAGACATCAGTTCCAGGCTTTTCATAAAGTGCTGGTAAAACTTTTTGGTGTTGATGTGAATGGATGTCATAGCATGGCTCAAAATTTTAATTGCATGTTCAAAGCCAATGCATAAACAACAAAATACAGACATGGATCTGTAGCTATACAAAAAAAAAAAAAAGTTGGACGAACTCAAAATTTCAAGGCAACAAACTTC